ACACACACACACACACACACACACACACACACACACACACACACACACACAAACACACACACACAAACACACACACACATACATATCACAAATTATGTTGCCTACACAGAGATCAGATGGAAACAGTGGAAAATGCAGGCTCAGGAAAAGATGGATGGATTGGGTTAGAGAAAATGAAGTAAATAAGTAACAATCGTACTTACTATTGGTGATGTTAAGTGGGTGGTTGGCGGGTTCTCTTGTGGAGTTTGTTCCTCATTTCCTATCGAACATCTATTGTCCGTACCTCTCCTCCAGGTTTTCTGTGTTTGTTAGTCTCATGTAACCCCTCCAATCTTAGAAACATTTCTTACCTGTTTGTGTTGCAAGTTCTGTAAAACTCTAACTGAAAGAAAGCAAAACTAAAAAAAGCAAAACAAATGAATGAATAAAAAAAATTTAAAAAAAAATTAACCTATCTTACTACAGTAAATACTATAGATCTAATAAATAAAAAGAAGATACTTCACCCAATTTTACGAAGATATCAATTTAGAAAGAAATTAAAATTCTTTTTTTTTTGCCAGAAAAAAAGTAGTTCACCTTGTTTGGCGCTTACACATTTAGCGTGGGATACCGACACACTTGTTGGACTCCTGTTTGACACTTGTCCCCGCGAGAATACTCGACAAGGCCTCCCCTTCAGTTGACACTTGCTCTTGATTTAATGAAACTGCCGCAGCCTGTGCAAACGATTAAGTTGCCGGAGTATTTGAGTCTCCGTGCGGGGTTGTTGCCCTCTGTGTGTGTGTGTGTGTGTGTGTGTGTGTGTGTGTGTGTGTGTGTGTGTGATTGATCTATTCGTGTGTGTTTTGTTTGTGTGTTTGTTTGGGTTTTTTTCGTCTGTCTTATGACGATTGGCGGGTAAAACATCTACATTAAATCTGCTAATGGTCAAGAGTTGAAGTTTTGGCTTCGCGTCAGCGATTCGGTCTTAAGCCTATACTAAACGCAACGACGGATACTTTTAGAAGTACCTTTCTAACTGTCTTTTCTATCTGGCCCTTTGTGCCAACAAGGCTGCTAGCGTGTCTATGAATAATTTATTAACCAATCGAAACTCTAAAATGGAGTGCTCTTGTGTGGTCTGCTCCCTCTTTCCTATCAAATGTCTGTCATCCTTATCTTTCCTCCTTCTGTTTTGTGTTTGTTACTCTCTTGTATCACCACTAATCTTCAGTGCCTATATGGCCGTATTGAGCTAGAAGTGCCCTGACAAATTCTTACTAAACCAAAACAACAGACAAAAAATGGTCCATACAATTGCGCATTCACATAGTATATCAAGCGTCCCCCAAGTTGTACGCTTGTGTGTTGAAAATCTCTATAGTGTGCATTTGAAGATATCCTTAAATATTATATGCTTGTCGAAAGATCTCGTATTTGCAAGAACGCCAGTCAACTGTTTATAACTTTTTGTGTGTGCAGTTTGTCGTAAGTGGAACTCGATATGTAACGTTATTTTGTTCATGGCTTAATGCATGCAGACTTTGGGGGGTGATCTTGTAGACTGACTCATGGGCTCCAAAAGGAGACAAATGCAAGGATACGGATTACATGAAAACTCTTGAGAATAGAGGAGAAGGGGAGTGGGGTGAGGGGCGGGATAGATTGATGGTTTGAGGGTTACGTGAATGTGTGTGTGTGTGTGTGTGTGTGTGTGTGTGTGTGTGTGTGTTTGTTTGTATGTGTGTTTGTTTGTATGTGTGTATGTATTATTGTGTGTGTATGCGTATGTGTGTGTGTATGTGTATATGTGTGTCTAAAAGAGAGCGAGAGGGAGAGAGAGAGAGAGAGAGAGAGAGAGAGAGAGAGAGAGAGAGAGAGAGAGAGAGAGAGAGAGTCATGGGCGCCTGAACGCAGTGCATTTAATGACATCAAAGAGTGGCACTGAGGTGAAAGGAGAAGATCCAAATAGAGCGAAATAGAAAAAGGAAAAGGGGGGAACATGCTAATTGCATTCGGACGGAAAAACGTTTGCCGAACGACAGACATTTTTTTCGATCAGCTTTCTTGTGATAAGACTGCTTCAGAGACATCGGCTACATTTTCTCTCTCTCTCTCTCTCTCTCTCTCTCTCTCTCTCTCTCTTTCTCTCTCTCTCTCTTTCTCTCTGTCTCTCTCTCTCTGTCTCTCTCTCTTTCTCTTTCTTTCTTTCTTTCTTTCTTTCTCTCTCTCT